TGATGGAGGCCAGAATAGTAGGAATAGTTTATTTTGTACACAGAGGAACGAAGAATAATCAAGAAGAAGTTTGACTTGGGAGCACACGACCAGCCAGGAGGCCAGCCGGTTCCTAAGTGTCGGTTTGACAGCAGTCAGGCCAGTGGACAGAGATAGCATTCACGCGTGCAAGCTTGCTTTTCGTCGCCGAGCTAGAAGGCATCTTTGCAGCAACCGTGACTGGCTGTTCCCAGAGGTCGAGACCGACATCTGTGGGCCTTCGGGAAAATTCACTTCGGCGCGAGATAGTCACGATACGCGCACGCGAGTCGAACGTTTGCGTGCTCTGTTGGAAGCGAGCTCACAACAACTAACAACGCGCGCGTACAGTGTGGGATATTCTTGTGTCAATTTCCGATTTGTCTTCCAGAGCTAAGGTTCTGAGGCTGGTTGCACCTTGACCTGATATCGGCCAGCACCACCAGATGTGTATCCGTGAAGTCGAAAGGGTAATATTTCTCTAGCCCGTGGCTTGCGACAGCTGGTGAGCTCCCCCTGAACTACCCGCTTGTGTTCGCGTATTGTTGAGTTTAGTCGTCGTTTGATCCGGCCTAACAGGTACAATTGTAGGATTCTGCTAGTCAGCAACGATATCCGCTGGTTGGTTATGCCCCAGCGTTGTTAGTTCCCTCAGTTTTAATCTCCTAGGCTGCTGTTCTTTGCTAATCGGTCCTGAAACATTTGTAGTCAGTATACTCTTATCGCAGTAGGTTAGTTGCGTATGTACTCTTCGGGTCTGGTTCCTTGTTGTAACGGAAGAGGTGAGACGCCGGGTAAGAGGGATAGTGTATTCTATAGAGAGGAAGTGGATAATAGACTGGAGGAAGTTGACCGCCGGACGAGTTAACAACCACTCGCGAGGGAGCCGCGTCCGAAGTGTCTGAGCGTGGCTGTCAGTACAGTTAGGTCCTTTGTGAGTCTATTGCAGGGGATTAAGTGAGTGAAGCCTTAGCAAGTGCGATCTTCAAACCATGGTTACTTAGGACAGAAGAAGTCTTGGGAAGGCCAGAGTGTTAGAAACGGTATATTGTGTACACAGAGGAACGGAGAATATATGGAAGGAATCTGACTTGGGAGAACACGACCAGCCAGGAGAGCCAGCCGGGCTTAAATGGGGTTTAAGCAGCAGGCATGCAAGCGGCAGCGAGAACGGGCATTGTCTGGTTGCCTTGAAGGTAATTGGCCGGACAGACTGCATCGACCTAGGCGTGCCTACGTCTTATTCGCCACCAAGAGAAAACAGCTTTTGCAGCATCTGTGATTGGCTGTTGCAGAGGCCACCCTTAGTGCAGACGCACGCGTTAGGAGCGGTGAGCCTTCGGGCATGCTTGCTTATGTGGAGTCAGTCACCAAAGTCAAGCTCGGGAAGGTGATTGGCCAAAGTGAATTGAAGATGGCAAGCTAGTGTATACTCACCCGCTAGCAGCAGCGCGAGGCGAGCGTTCACCCAAAATTGGGGTCCCTAAACTTCCTCCTCGATGTCGCTGCAGTGGAATTTTACTCTCCTAAAGAAAAATTTAATTCAGCTGCGCCTCTGCGTTGCAACTTGTTTGGTTATCGTATCCGAGCGTCGGACTTGTGGCTACTGCCCTTTAGTAGACTGTGGTGTATAGTCCACCGTTTATATCTTCCCGAGTCGAGGATACCAACGACTGACAGCTTCCACAACTTTTATTCCTCCCGCGCGAACTGAATATTAGCAACGTCGTTGTTAAGTAGCTTATGGAACCTATATAGCCTGTTATTCTCCATTCCAACGAACGTGCCATTTACATTTGATCACCACAATGCTGGCCCTTAAACAGGGTAAACCTGTCAAAAGGCATGTGTTGTTGAACAGAAGCAGGACGAACGTTCCACAGGGGATGGATATGTGTCGAATATTCACGTTATTATTATAATCATATTTAGTGTCTTTTTGCTGATTGTTATTGGGGTTACGTATTATTGTTGAGCGCTCATTTACGACAAACATTTTGAGAGACGCTCTGAGTGGAGTGTGCATGGGTGCATAGATTCATATATTGTGTTGAGCGCATGTGCTCCTGACAGGTACACTCACCAAGAAGCAGTAATTTAGGTGTGTGAAACAACAGAAACCATTCTTAGCATGAGTCAACGGCTTGAATGTTGTATTGGGCTAGGTGAGGATATCATTGGCCGATTTCACAAAGAGAGAACGTAGACTGGTCAGACGTTTTGTGGCGGCATTTATTGAAAGGATATTTACCGAGCAGTGGACTAATGCTGTGTTTTAAGGAAGGTCAGTGGACACACTGGAGGCCATACTGATCAACATAAGTAATATTTAAAACAGGCTGCTTAATTATGTGGTTAACCTCCAATTACCTCGGTAATTGTTCACTTACTTTAATCCCTAAGTGATTTTCGTTAACTTCCCTCACCCACTTCCCCTTCCTTCCTATACGTTGACCTACTGCAGTGTCCTTTATCGATTATTATTCAAACTGAACCACGGTCCGTGCTGTTAAGCTCCTCATTCTGTGAAATTTCAACCTGTTGTATGTCCTCTTCGTTATCATCATCATGCAGCTACAAGATGCAGCTGAGCAGCAGTAACGAAATTTATTAATGTCAATTTATCCTGCCGTATACGCCTGTTTTCAATTTGTACCGGGGAAAATGCTTCAAATAAGTAATATTGTGAAGAAAAAGGAGAAGAAGAAGAAGAAGAAGAAGAAGAAGAAGGAGAAGAAGAAGAAGA